CGGGTGAGCCTGGAAGTAATGGCCCAACTTCTTGACGGTCCACACGATAGCCAACGCCGTTTTTTCCACAGGGGAGTACCGGAGCTCTGCTTCCCTGAGGGTCTTGCTAACATAGAAGATGGAATGTTGGATGCCATCCTCTTCCTGGATGAGTACTGAGCTGATGGCTGCCGGGCTAACACCCAGGTAAAGGTATAGGATCTCCCCCACCTTGGGTTTAGAGAGCACAGGGGTGAAGATAATGACCGTTTCAGTTCCTCGAAGCCCCCCTGACACTCTGAAGTCCACTGGAAACCGGCGGTTTTTCTCATGATCTGGAAGAAGGGTAAGGACTTCTCCGCCGATTTTGATAAGAAGCGATTGAAGGCTGCCAGGCGGCCCGTCAATCGTTGTACCTCCTTTACATTGCGTGGGGGCTCCATGTTGATGATGGCCTGGATCTTCTCGGGATTGGCCTCGATACCCCTTCGGCTCACCATGTAGCCCAAGAATTTGCCCCCTTGAACGCTGAAGGTATATTCTCCGGGTTTAGCCGAAGGTTGAATTTCTGCATGATGGTGAAGATCTCCCTCAGGTCGTCAACATGGCTTGCTGATTGCTTGCTTTTGACGATCATGTCGTCAACATATGCCTCCATGGTACGCCCTAGGACAACTTGAAATACCCTGGCCACCATCCGAGTGTAGGTGGCGCCTGAGTTCTTTAGGCCGAAGGCCATGACAAGGTAACAGAAGATGCCCTCGGGAGTCATGAAGGCTGTTTTTTCAGCGTCTTCCTCATGCATAAATATTTGATGATATCCGCGGAATGCGTCGAGGAATGACATGATTTCACACCACGCGGTTTCATCTACAAGTTGATCAATATTTGGCAAAGGAAAGGGGTCCATGGGACACGCCTTGTTGAGATCCATGTAGTCCACGCACATGCAGAATGAGGGCGGTTTTTGTGCGAGGACTATGTTTGCCAGCCATGAGGGGTACTTCACCTCCTTGATGTGCTTGATAGAGAGGAGCATGGCGACCTCCTTCTTCACAAATTCCCTCCTCTCGGCCGAGAGGGGTCTCCGCCGCTGTTGTACTGGTTTGGCCGAAGGGTCCACCGAGAGGCGGTGGGTCATGAGCCTTCGGCTGATCCTCGGCATGTCCTCCGGCCCCCATGCAAAAACAATGGAGTAGGCGAGGAGGGCGCTTATGATGCCGGTCTTCAAGTCTTCGGGAAGCTTGGCTCCAATCTTCACGACTCTCTCCGGCTTGGCCGGATCGAGCGCAAAGTCTTCTACCTCCTCGGCTGGTTCAGCCCTCGGCCTCCTTTCTTCCGCTTCCACAGTTGTGGTGATGGTGTCGACGCGGAACTCCATCTTGTTAACCTTCTTCGTCACTTGAAGGTAGCAACCGCGGGCAAGCTTTTGGTTCCCCCTCGAGTAACCGATTCCCCCCTCGGCTGGGAACTTGAGGCAGAGGTGCCTCATGGAGATGACGGCTTCGAGATCCTCGAGGGCTCGCCGGCCGAGGATGATGTTGTGGGTGCAGTCGATGTTGACGAAGACGAACTCCACCTCGAGCTTGGCTCTATGGAGCCCGTCACCGAAGAGTACCGGGAGGGTGATAACCCCCTCGGAATCAATGGTGTCGCCGGTGAAGCCGACAAGAGGGGTCTTGATGGGTCGAAGGGACCCCCTCTCCAGATGCAGCTCTCTGAAGGTACTGAGGTACATTACATTGACGGAGCTGCCCGTGTCAATGTAAGTTCGGTGAATTATAGTGTCATTGATCTCTGTGCGGATGACGAAGGCATCCCTGTGTGGGGAGGACACTGAGGGGGAGATCAGCGTTGGTGAAGGTGATGGGTTCCTCCCTCAGCCGCTTTACTGGGGGTATATGAGTGACTTCCCCCACGTAAAGTGACTGAGCCCACTTCTTTCGTTGACTTGTAGAGTCACCCCCGGTATTGCCCCCGGTGATCATGAGGATGTGGCGCTTCTTTTCTTGGTACCGGGGGTACTCCTCCTCCTCTTCTTCCAGGTTCCCAATCTCCCTCTTCTTGCTGAGGGGGGTGGTGTTGGGGTTGACCCATGCATTTGCTCTCGCAGTTTGCCCTCGGGGTGGCCCTTGGTGAGGGGAGCACTGTTGCTAAGGGCCTTGAATAAATTGGGACAAATGGCCCGCCTGTATTAATCTTTCGATGGCCATCTTCAGCTGATGGTAGTCATCAGTTCTGTGCCCTTGATGCCGGTGGAAGCGACATTAGGGGTAGTTTGGATTGATGGCATATACTTCCGGGGGTGCGCGGGAATCTCGCTCCACTAGACCCCTCTCCTCAGCGAAATCAAGAATGACGCTGACGGGGTGCGTCAAAGGTGTCCGAGGGTGCTCTAGGAGAACAGGATGTGCCCAAGCCCTCGGGTTCCCCTTGTAGCCTCCCCCGGGCTTGGTTTGGCCGTGCCGGGGGTGATCACTGGAGGAAGCAGAATCCTTGGGTTGATTACGGGGAGCCCCCGGCCCCCGGTTGCCTTTGTCGTCTGGCCAAGGGCGTTGTTGATCGGGGATGTGATGGCATTTCTCCACTTCCTCGGCTTCGGCATACCGGTCCCCCCGCTGCAGGGCCCTTATATAATCGCGAGGGGGTTCGATGATAAGGCTCCTTGAGAAGTTCCCGGGGCGGAGTACTTTTTGGAGGAGGGCCAGGAGGGTCTCGTCGTCAGCGCCATCAACTTTATCAGCCTCCGTTCTCAAGCGCTCCAAGAAGTCCCGAAGGGTCTCCTCCTTCTTTTGCCTCATTGTGAGCAAGTGGGAGAAGTGTTTTCTTGTGCGGCGCCTTCCCGCAAATTGCGTCAAGAACCGTTGGGTGAGCTCTTGCCATGAGTCAATGCAGCTCTCGGGCAACCGATTGAACCATTCGTAAGTCGGCCCCTCCAAGGTGGAGAGGAACCAGCGGCACAAATACTCATCCGATGCCCCCACCATCATCATGCTGTTTTGGTATCTACTGTAGTGCTCCTGGGGGTCAGTTTTTCCGTCGTAGGGCTTGATGAGCTGCCCTCGGTATTTTTCCGGGATCTGGGCCGCCAATACCCTTAGGGTGAATGGCGTCTGGGTCCGGAGCTGTATGGTGGGTTCCCTGGAGCCCTCAGTAATCTTCCTCTGCATTTCCTCCATTTTGGCCAACATGGCCTCATACTTGAGGTCTGTATGAGGGGCAAAGGTGGTGGCGTACGCTTTGGTGGCCTCCATTTTGTAAAGCCGACGCTGAAGGGCCGCAATGATTTCGTCCCGGGGGTCCTTCTGGAGGGCCTCCGGCCCCTGAGAATGGACACGGGCCGAATGGGCCTGGTTGATTTGGTGGCGGGCGTCGTTGGCATGGAGAGGTGCCTTGCCTTTGTCCTGAGGGGGACGCCTTTCATTGGCCCTGGAGACGGATCCACCACTTTCCTGAGGCCTCTGGAACGCCTTCCCCCCGAGGCGGTCTTGGACCCCTTGTCGGTCTTGCGCCCCTCCGTGTCTCTCGAGGGCGGAGGTCCGGGGTTGTTCCTTGTTCACGTTGTGGCGGTCCCGGGACTGGACCTCCTGGGAGGCCGTATCTTGGGCCATGACCCCCTCGACGTTCCCAATCTAGAGGACTGGGTTCCCGAGGGGTGTGGATGAGGGGGAGGCATGATATTCTCCCCGACCTAAGGTTGGAGGGGAACCAAAGTGCCGAAGGCACCCGGGTTCTGGGTGAGCGTTTGGATGAAGGCGGAAAACGCCGATTGTACTTCGACGGTGATGACCGGAGGGCTAATTTGATTCTCGCTCCGGTCCTTCTTCTTGGCCTCGATGCTGAGGCGGGCATCGGGGGCATTTTGTTGAATTTGATGGCGTAGGTCGACAGCCGTCTGGTCCAACCCGGCGATGACGCCGCCCCCGGGAGCCCTGTTAGAGGCTTCGGGGACGTCGACTTCGCCGAGGGCCAGGTTTCTGTCCTCGACGTTCTTGGAGTTGGCAGGAGTTGTTCTCGCCATCTTAGCTAGGTGTTTTGCGTTTGGCGAGGGGGGGTTCTTACTTGATTGTTCGACCTCTCAACGAGAGCACCAAATGATGGATAGTATACCCGGGGGGTAGCTTATCCGAGGGGTTATTACGGGGAATAACTAGAGAGAAGTCAGAGCAAGTAAGTAAAGAGAGAGAGTATATTAGAAATGTATTCGGCGTATTTGCTTCTAGGTTACAAATGGGGAAATGAGGCACTATTTATAGTAGTAATAAATGCCAGATAGGGACACGTGTCAAGCATCCATTGGCCGAGGGGTCACCTCAACTGGTTGGCGCTGGCAATCGCATGTGGCCGCATTTAATGCGGCTGTTGGATGGGACGTCGTACTTGGTACGGTAATCCTTGCGCATGTGGAGCGGATATTATGTCGGAAAATGTGCCCTCAGCTGTAAATGATTGGCCGAGGGCTCTGAGTACCAGGGACCTCCTTAGTGCCGAGGGCTCTAGGTGCCGAGGGCTACTGATTTTCGCCGTTTTCTCCCAGTAACTTTGTTTTCCTGATTTGGCCATCCTGTGAGAATTGGAGCCTTCGGCCAGGGGGGCGAAGGCACCCCTAGTGCGCCACGTGGGTTGCTTAGTACTTGGAGCGCCCGTATTTGGGCCTGCTGTGCTTCCTGGGCCTATTGGGCCTCCATTAGAATAGTAGGAGTCTATAGGCCGGGGGTTCCTGGGCCATATACTCCATCACCTTACTTTGTATTACATGTTGAAATTTGCGTATATATAGGTAAGCTTTTGCAATATATTTATATAACCTTTTAATGACCTTTTTTCTATTGCCCCGAGCCCATAAAATGTCAGGACCGGCTCTGGTTGAGGTTGACGGAGGTCGGTTGCGCATGTGAGGGGGTGAGAGAAGCAATATGCACAGAGTAGCTAAAAGGACAACTATGTTGAAGAGAGAAGCTCCTATGGACTTATAGCATGGAGAAGATACAAAGCTTTTAAAATTATTTTAAACCACATTCATTTTTGTCTTTTTATTAATCAATCATATTTTTGTCTACTAAAACTCTCACACTAATATTTGGGTCATTCTTTCTTACATAATAAGGATTATTGATTAGAGGTTACAAATAGTAATGGTTCATGTGTTATATACTTTGTATATGCAAATATTGCAATAATTGTGGAAGAACTCGTTATATCTAACTCTAACTCAGTCTAGTAGCAAAAATATCCTTGTGTTGAATAGAATAATATAACTTGGCAAATGGTCCTACAAGACTTGCGGTATTGTAAGTACATGCCTCAGATTGCATGTAATTTCCCCGTCTATCCTCAAATTGGTCGTTCATATCTGGCCCGCCCACCACTGCCCCAATCACAACATTCGGGTTCGGATCCCGACAACCGAAGTAAGTGAAGTAACCTTGCATACACCCAATAAAGTTTTTTTCACGTTTGTATGATACGATGGATGCGGCCCTGTGGTGCACCCGTTGTGGATACTTGGGGCCGAACCCGACCAAGTAGCTCGTGCCCATGGGATTGATCCCCAGAATGTAATCAACCTGGGATTTGGCGAAGGCAAAGACGTCGTCCGGTCTCACTGACCGACGGTGGCAATTAAGAACCCGACCTGTTGACCTGAGGTGGTCATAGTAGACGGTCATTAGGAACACCGCAGTTGAGACGTACTGGAGATTGTTCCATCTGCGGATGTACAGTAAGCCTCCTGGGGTGCGCCGCACGTTGCTCGAATTTTGGTTCATGTTTAAATTAGCGCACATGTAGTATTCGGCTTTCGCGCCGTATTCCTCAATGATTTCAAAATGCTTCCGCCCTTTCATCGGCAACTATATACATGTAATAAGGTCACAAATAAATAAACAAACAAAAATTGTTTAGTCTAGATAATAAACATCATCAAAATAAAATAAAATCAAACCTAAGTGTGTGTGTCTATATATATATATATATATATATATATATATATATATATATATGATGCGGTTCCGGTGAGAACACTTCTTAATGTGAGAAATGAGAACGCTCCAAAACGATGCACTTTATCATTCACGAAAATGCACATTTATAGTTAAAGTAATGCAAAATTCTAAGTTGCACGTTTACGTGTAAACTTTTGCACACTTGAAATGCACATTTTCCAATTTTTTATATGCACATTTCTATTTTACTTTATGCACAATGCCAAAATCCAAAGCTCCAGAATCATTCTCATTTCTCACGTTAAGAAGTATTCTCATTTGATCCTTACTCTATATATATATATGTGTGTGTGTGTGTGTATAGGGGAAAGATCAAGTACAAAATGTGCTTATTGTGCAAATGTTTGTACGATGCACCTTGACGTTATTTGCATTGCATATTGAGGTTCAAAGTGTTGCATATTATATAGTCATAAAATAGCAGTTGCACATTTACGTTCAATGAGTTGCACCCTAGAAAAGTTAGGTTTTATTACAAAAATGCCACATTGCATTTATATCCTTTAGATCAACTCATCGGATGGCCAAGATAAGTTTGTACTTTGTAAATTAAGCATGATTTGTATTTGATCTCTATTCTACACACACACACACACACACACACACACACACACACACACACACATATATATATATAGGGGCGAGATGCACTCTTTAATATGCAATACTTTGAACTTCAATATTCAGTACAAATAATGTAAAGATGCACTCTTTGAACTTCAATATGCAATACAAATAATGTAAATATGATTTGAATGAGGAGACTAGTTTGTATGTGATCCAACCCCCTGCATCTTTACATTATTTTTACTGCATATTGACGTTCAAAGTGATGCATATTATTGAGTTTGTAGGTTAGTATTTTAAGCATGGTTTGTATTTGATCTCTCTAATATATATATATATATATATATATATATATATATATATATATATATATATGTGTGTGTGTGTGTGTGTGTGTGTGTGTGTGTGTGTGTGTGTGTGTGTAGAGGAATATTCATGTGCGGACGGACGCATCGGGACCGCCGTCCGGTCGACGGCGTTTGGCCACCTTCCCGGTGGAATTTTTTGATGATATTTTTATGCCATGTTCTTCATCAAGTCGATCTGGAAGGCCTTCAAATGATTTTTTGAAGTTGACTGCGTTTTTCTATGTATAATTTGGCGCAGTCAACTTCGAAAAATCAATTGAAGGCCTTCCAAATTGCATTTTGAGCTGAATTTTTGTATGGATAAATTAGACTTGATGAAGAACATGTCATAAAAATTTCATCAAAAAATTCCACCGGGAAGGTGGCCAAAATCCGTTAGCCGAACGGCCCCTCTCGTGCGGCCGGACGCACCAGATCATCCATCACTCTGTGTATATATATGTATATGTATATATATGTATAAGGGAAAGATCAAGTACAAACTGTGCTTATTGTGCAAATGTTTGTACGATGCACCTTGACATTATTTGCATTGCATATTGAGGTTCAAAATGTTGCATATTATATAGTCATAAAATAGCAGTTGCATATTTATGTTCAATGAGTTGCATCCTAGAAAAGTTAGATTTTATTACAAAAATGTCATCTTGCATTTATATCCTTTAGATCAACTAATCGGATGGCCAAAATAAGTTTGTACTTTGTAAATTAAGCATGATTTTTATTTTGATCTCTATTCTATATGTATGTATATATATATATATGTATGTATGTATATATGTGTGTGTATATATATATATATATGTATATATGTATATATGTGTGTGTATATATATATATATATATATATATATATATATATATATATATATATATATATATATATATATATATATATATATATATATATATATATATATATATATATATATATATATATATACCTTGGCAACGAGTAATTGAATGGCAGCGTATTTGACGTCCCAACTGAACTCGGTGATGGTCCAAGTGATGCCTCCAAAAGATTTGGCATTTTGCACAACATAATTCAAGTAGTATTCATTGTCGGTGGCTTTGTATAGCCATAGAGCTCCCCACAATAGCTCGTCTTTGTAACCACTCAACGAGGGGTAGTAACCCTTGGCGGCTCCGACACTCTCGTCATATTGTCCCCTGAACTTGTCACCAAACTCGAACAGCTGCATGCGTGCGTGCGCCATTTTTATTTACATCCAAATCAAACTTACCTCCGTAACATAAAAATCTTCTCATTTTTATTTTTCACGGTCTTCTAAGTTGAACTTTGACTCTAAATATCTACATATTTATATTTATAAAATTCATAATAAATTAACATTCAAATAATATATTTTACAATGAGGTATATGAAATAAATTTTTAATCATAACATAATGTGAGTTTTGAATAATTAATGGTCAAAGTTTAAAAAGTTTGACTCAAAAGAGTCAAACTGAGAAGATTCTAGAGTTACGGAGGTAGTACAATTTTCATTTACAGCTTTCCGCTTTCACCAAACACTTGTATATATATAACTTTTGATTTTGCGCGTTGAATTGCGTAATAATCAAATTAGGTAAGCTAAGGTTGAAGTTACCTTTGTGGCTGCATTGATTGAAGTTACGCCCGAGAACCATTTTCATATAATTTTTTTCTTTATTTTATTAATAGAATATATTTTAAATACAATTTTTCATAAATCAATAGAATCACTCAATTCAGTTACTTCTTTCAAATTTTTATAAATTTCAACCGATTTCAATGTTACCAAACCAGCTCTTAATTTGTTGTAATATAATGAGAAGTATACAAGCATACAGATGCACTTACACATTTAATTATTTCTCCATATGCTAATAAGGTCTCCGGCCGGCTATGTGCGTAATACTCCGTATGTGAATGTTCAAAATTACTAGTAATAAATATAGCAACGAGTATATGCCAACCGACACACCGGCCCTAGCCTCATTCATTGTTGGGTCAATTCATTTAAACGTAACATATACGAGTACATATGAATATATGATTCCAACTAGGTAGCTACCAAATATAGGCCTGGCGATCGATCTGTGGTGCATGTGTAAAATTAAAAGTGCATGTGCAATTAATATTAATTAATACTACCATACCTGCTGTGCATGGGTTAGGAGAAGCGAAGCGTAATGGGAGTTTGTTTCCCTGAAAACCATAGACGCAGCCGCCATTGCGGCAGCTGTCTCTGCGGCCACGTCGGAGCCGGGATGCTTCTCGTCGATTTTGTACGATCGTCGAGATGTAGCCATGTCTTCGGGTCGTTGCCAACAATAGTGATCAGTGCCCCCATCACCAACCTATATTCAATTCGATCACCCATTACGTACTATACATTTATTTGACAAACGCACTGCACGTATAAGCTAAGCTTTTGGTTACCGTCACTTTTAACTCATTCTAACTTCTGTTCCTACTATACCTAGCTACGCGGCTACGCCACTAATCATGGATTTATAAAAACTTACATCTTCGGTGCCTCTCGAATCACAGTCAGTCCTACCTATATTTCGAGACACATAAAACATAAAATACTTCGCAAACGTCTAATAATTGTCCAAAAGATTAAGAGCCTATTTGGTAGCCTATTACTGTAGATAACTATTTTAGATATTTTTATATATAACTTTTTATTTATTTTATTAATGAAATATATTTTAAATATAATTTTCTAATAAATTAGCAGAATCAATCAATACAGACTCTTCAACCAGAACTTCATAAGTTTCAGTAGAATCAGTCGATTCAGCCGATTTTTTTAGTACCAAACGGGCTCTAAGAATGTTTTCTTTTCAACTATTTTCAGTCTCAAATCAGATCAGACCAGAATTAAACAAACCAGACCCCACCATTCTAGAATTGGAGAGTTATAAAATACACAGAAACCAAACATTTACTAGATAAGACCAAACCAGACTTAAACAGATCATATCAATTAAGACCAGATTAAACCAAAATAGACATAAACAGATCAAAATGTACCAAACCAGAACAAATTTTTTTTGTCCAAAAGAAAACATCCTAATTATTATGTCATGAAGGGTGTTCATTCATTGAGTGCATCAATTAAGTAATACTCCCTTCATCCCCCTATAATTGTCCCATTTTTTTTATTTTTGGATATCCCATTATTGTTGTCTCATACCCTATTTGGAAAGTGAGAAGTAAACTTAATGATAGAGCAATAGGGGATCTACTTTAGTACGATCCGTTTCTTTTTTATTGGTTACTTTATAAAAAAGTCGTGTTTTTCTTGGTTGGTGTGACACTCTCTTCCATGCTAATAATAGCGGATAGAGGGAGTAGCTAGTAATGGAAAATATTCAATGCAAAGATAAGTAAGAAACATCAAAAGGTAACCTTGCGGTATAATGTACACTTTTCTTGTTATAACGTAAAGTAGTTATTTAAAGCAGGTAACTTTTAGCATTAAACGGTCACAACAACTTGTTTTATTGAATAAAACAAAATTAAATGAACATCGTTTATTTAACAACTACAATCTTTTAAGATATTTTTAATTTTTAGAAGTTAACATTTACAAAAAAAACTAGCCTAAACATCTTTGCATGTTGTTGTGTCAAACATATATACCCCAAGGAAAAAGTGTGTTTGGAAGCGCAATCTAGAATATATAATTCCCTTGCTTTTAAAAAGTTCAATTTTAATGAACTTTAAAATGAGTGGAATATGGTTATTTTCCAAATAAATGGAAGCATTCAATTATTTCACACTTGTATCTCATAATTAAAAGCTAATTCTCTGTATCCATAGGAAATCGTTTATAGTTAATCCCCTTTGTATCTAATTACAATCGATTATTAGTTTATCATATATCTTCAACGTTATTCTATTTCACATATTGCAGCGTTTAGAATATCGATCTCCCTAAATAGTAGATCGATATTCTAATTGGGCAAATTTTGTGGGAATTCCAATAACAATTCTTTTAGGAGTGTTATTTTCAAGTGTCACCATGGCGTAATTGACGGTATAAAGTAAAGGTCAAAATTCAAAATTCCAAGATCAAGACCTTGTAACAATCGGAAGTCATTTTGCACCTAATGTAAATGTGTTTTTAATTTACCTCGGTTTCATTATTCGAAATTCAAACTTCAAAGCGAGATGCCGGCCACCTCGATCTACCCGCCCACAAAAACAAAATCATGTTTTTCAAATGTACGTTGTTCAATACGCATGGACAAGTACGAGTGCGTATACCGTGCAACCGTTATACGGTGAGCACCGTATACGGTGAGCACCGTATACCGGGACGGATTTGTATTTTTTCTTTTCCTTTTGCTTTTAAAAAATGGTAATAACTTTTTTATTTTTGATTCGATTTTTATAAAATTTATATCAACATTTTTTATTTTTCATGATCTTTCAAATGAGACCAATATTGCCTATGTAATTTTAACATATTAACATTTGTGTGTGAAATATGTAACTTTAAGTGTTAAAATATGTAACTCACGTTCAGTCAAGTCAAATGCAACTCGTGTGTATAAATATGTATCTCTACGTGTAACAATATGTAACTTTACGTAAAAAAATATGTAACTCGCATTCAGACAGGTCACATGCAACTCGTGTGTATAAATATGTAACTCGCGTGTATAAATATGTAACTTTACGTGTAAAAATATGTAACTTTACGTGTAAATATATGTAAGTCGCGTTCAGACATGTCAAATGCAACTCGTGTGTATATATATGTAACTCGCTTATAAAAAGATGTAACTTGCTTATAAAAAGATGTAACTCGCTTATAAAAAGATGTAACTTGCTTATAAAAAGATGTAACTCACTCATAAAAAGATGTAACTCAATATATTATCAAATGTAACTGAGGTCACTGATCCACTCCCAAACACATTCGATCTTCTATTTCACAAACCTATCATCTCCCAAACAGATTCGATTTTTCTTATAATCCAATACTCATTAATATAATAGTTCGATAATTTCTTAAAATTACATACACAATATTGGTCTCATTTGAAAGATCATGAAAATTAAAAAATGTTGATATAAATTTTATAAAAATCGGATCAAAAATAAAAAAGTTATTATCATTTTTAACATCAAAAGCAAAAAAAAAACAAATGCTGCGTCGTTTTTGCCTACTCTGCGTCGTTTTTGCAACCGGGCACACCATCCTCATGGTGCGCCGGTTGCACCATATAATTTGCCGACAAGTACTTGCTCAATTATGTTTTCTCCTTTCTCACAAAATTTGTCCAAATAGAAATTAGAAATTAGTTCAAATAGGACTAAAACTATGGCAAAAACTTAAAATATGACTTGCTATGTTTTTATTCCAAAATAGGACCATATGAGTTCTATTGGAAACATACCTATTTTTGCATTCCATTCTTACCCTTCCATCAAATATGAATTAAAAATAGTCAAAAGCCATAATTAAATGTTTAATTCATAATAAATTTGAAAAAAAATCAAAAATTCGTAGAAATATAATTAAAAAATTTATAAAATTTTTATAAAATAAAAAATTCAAAAACTTTTTTTTAAAATAATTTTATTTTTAAAAAAATTAATAAAAAATAGTAAAACTCTGTAAAAAAAATTTAAAAAAATATGGATGCCTTTCCCATATAAATGCCATTTTCCCAGAAAAATGCCATTTTTTTCTGAAAATGCAAAAAAAGTGACATATTTCTCTTTTCGAATGCCAACATTTTCATTTTTTTCTGCCATAAATATGTCATTCGTAATGAACTTGGCATTTTTTCCCCTGGTGACTGGAGGTGGTGGTGTTGAGGCGGCAGAGGCGGCGGAGATTTTTTTTTTGAGTTTTTATTTTTTTTTATTTTTTTTAATTTTTTTTTATTTTTTGAAAAAAAAAATAATTAAATTTTTAATATCAAAATGTTTTTCTTAATTTTTTAGTATTTTTTACGATTTTTTATTATTTTTTATTATTTTATTAGGAATAAAAACATTTTAATAGCTATAAGGGTATAATTGTCCAAGGTACACATAATTAGTCCTATGCAAACATAGTTCATTTTTTGGTCCTATTTGTGAAAATTGAATGACGTTTAGTCCTATTTTGATAATTAACTCAATAGAAATCTGTTTAATTTTAAATTATTAAAATTAACATTTTATTAATTATTATATTAGATCAATTGTATCTCGAACCAAATTCATTCGTGGAATCGTGCATATTCTAAATTAGAATGTTTTCTTTTGGACCGTTTCCGGTCTCATACCGGACCAAGCCAGATCAGACCAGATTTAAACTGATAAGACCATACCAGACCAGCAAATTTCAATCCGAAAGAAAACATCTTTACTATTCATAGAATACATTTTCTTTTGAAATAAGCGAAAAGAATTCGAATTATCGATGACCAACAAGCAAGCGATCGGTTGGATAGCCATAACGTAATTCTTAGTAATGCAGTTCTTAATCTCATACATACAGTTATTATACGGCTTTATAGCTTCGATCAGCTACGACATGTAAATATGATTAATCAGTGATATTAGTGAATAAGGTTTTATCTGTTTCAATTTATTTGTCTCATTGTTCTATTTTAGGCTGTCATTAAAGATACTCCCTACTCCCTAATTCCGTATTATATCTATCATTCTTAGTTGCAAAAGTGTGTATAATTGCTTCTTTCTAATAGAGTTTGATTCAAATTCAAAAGTGGTGAATGTATCAAATTTCGAGTAAGAAACGGTGGCATTATAGTAATTATGAAGACTTTGAAAAAATGAATGTAACAAATGTGTATTGGATAGAGTATAAAAACGTGTATGTGTACAATACCACAATTGTGCAATAGAATACAAATTAAACGTACTAAATGTACATAACAGAAAACAGTATAGTAATCTTTTCTACACTCAACTCGTCAATGCATTTTTATCTATAAATGATTAAGTTTGTACTATAAACATTTGTGCATTATTTTACCACCATCTCTTTTGATTAAAAATTCAACTAATTCATCCAATCTTTAAGTGTTTAAAGGTCTAGTTTTATTCTCATTCTTTCATGTGAAAACTTCTTTTCACTTCTTTTCACTTCTTTCATCCCATATTTCTGATATCACTATGGGTCGAATGTAGTGGTGTTTTTATTCTAAATAATAATATCATTGTAAAGAGAGACAACTTTTTACTTTTTGCAAGGTATTACCTATTACTAACTTGCTAATTAAGTATAATATTTATGTTGCTAAAATTCACGTATTGATTAACCAATTTCATCGTTGACTTTTAAAAAATAAATGAATACTCATATTAGATCCCCTTGACCAATGATTTTTAATTTCTTGTGTAAAAAGTAGTTTAAATATTACTACTGATTTTTTTTGCAGATGAGGCATAGCGGTCAAGTTAGGTGCAATCTTTCTTAAATTACTATCAAATTGATCGATTAGGTGCAATCTGTGTTATTGAATCAATTTACATGTGAAACAAGCACTAATGGCAAAACAATTTTGTTGTAGTAAAGTAAACATTCTTGAATGTGATCAATCTATTTGGACAATTATGCTAAGATCAAAACAAAGATGAATGAAACCAATGTTGAGATTTATTATTATTATTATTATTATTATTATTATTATTATTATTATGAATGAATTCTTGAAAGGAATGAAGTAAGAGTGAGTGAAAGAACCTGGACCCAAAGCACATGAGGACGAGTGTGAGCCTTGATGAAAAAGTCAGTCCCCCACTTGATCGCCTCGAGAGCGTGACTGAACTCGCCGGCGGCGGCTATTTCTTTGCCGTATTCAATGACCGCCCAAGACAACAACGTTATGGTGAATGCCATCGGAAGACCGAACTTGACGTTGTCGCCGGCATCGTAGTAGCCTCCGACCAAGTCGACCTGTGCGTACGCCGCCGACAATTGAAATTTAATTCCATCAAATAGTGCCCGCCGCTCACTGCTTTAACTAATATAGACACAACAAAAGGAATGAATCAAAAGAAATGAAAGAGTGACAAACCCCTTGCTCAAGGCCGTCGGTGAGACCGGAGTGGTGGCGCCAAGAAACTCTCTGGTTGTACGGCAGCTTGCCGGAGCGCTGCGCCTCGAAGTACAAAAGGCTCTTCGAAAGAGCTTCTTTATAGTCAAGAAGACAAAAGGAAGAAGGTAAGAGGGCAAAAATGGAAATCACCGATACCCATTGTTGATCATAAATGGTGTATTTTCTTTTCCTCTCCATAGTTGTACTGTTCCTTCTGTCTCCTTCAATTCTATCTTTTCTTAAATACACCGGAGTAGATGGATGGTTATGGCCGTTCATTTATAGGAACTGTTTCTTGTGATTAAGAATTAATAGGATTTGGGCAAGAGGAAATGCATGCTAAATCTCAGACTTCCAAGGTTCCTGTACTCTGTTTTCCGTGAAACATAAAGTTCACTGCATTAACATTGTCCTCTACTATATATAGAAGCAAAATAAAACCTGGCTCGCTAGATTTTTGTTCACAAATTGCTCAAAAAAATGGTCAAAATGTGACTAAAATATTTCAAAAGAATACGACATTAAAAATTTCTAATAAACTCCGTATAAAAAAAGGCGGTTGCGTTACCTAGGGTTTCTTCTTCCGTCGTCAATTGTGCCGCTATTTTTTCTTCTTTTACTTTGTCGAGATTAAACAGAGGGAAGAGGATGTTTGACCTCCGACGGTCGAAGGTGGTGGGTTTATTGTCTAGTTTAAAGACTTGTAAAATATCTAGTAAGTTTTTTAAACCCTTTGTTGAAGAATCTTAAGATAATAATCTGTTCGTAATGACTAAATTTATTGAATTTTCGAAGACTTTGTAAATGATCCATTAACTTGTTCTCTCTATGCTAGTGCTATAACATTACAGTACAAAGAAGGGTTTGAAAACCTTTTATTTTGTTTGCAAGTTTTTTTTTTATTTTAATCGTGTGCTTAGGATAAGAGATCAAATAAAAAAACTCTTCCTAATTTACAAACTACAAACTCATCTTGGTCATACGATAAGTTGATCTAAAGGATATAAATGCACGGGGGCATTTTTGTAATAAAATCTAAATTTTTTAGGATGCAATTCGTTGAACGTTAGTATGCAATTGTTATTGTATATTTGAATAATACGCAACACTTTGAACATCAATATGCAATATAAATAACACAAAGGTGCATCGTACAAACGTTTGCACAATAAGCATAGATTGTACCCAATCCTTCCCCTATGTGTTAGTGCTATAACATTGGCATAAAGAATGCATGGTTCCAAAAAACCCTTTTATTTTATTTGCAAGTAATTTTGTTCTGTTTATTAGCTGGTGCGATAACATTACAATATAACAATTTGTTCTTTCTTTGTGCATTTCTTTTTTAAATATTCGTTGTACCGGCCCAACTTGTATATCACTCTGGCGATGCCACTGATTAAATGATGTTTTTGATGAATGTCCCCCCCAACGAGTACTCGTGGGTCTAGAGGGTCGGAGCAGGAATGGTACCAGACAAACAGTAGCGAAGAATCGAGGATGGGACAGAGGTGGGGGGTTGTTAAGACACAGGACAGGATGAGGAGTATCCCCTCCCAACCCAAACTCATTACCATCACTAACTTTAAAGATATATTTGACACAACTAGTTTAAAATATACTTTTATGAGTGTTTTTAGTAACTGTTAATTTTTAATGATTGCATATATATTAAAAGAAGAAAGTGTATCTGTTCGATAAAAAGTTGACTGTCTGAACTAGTTTTGTTTTGTATACAAGTTGGTGTGACTCATTAATGCTAAAAATTATAGACTTTTAACAAAAGCTACTCAGTGTAGCTTTTCAACTAAGATCTTTTAGTTTTGAAAAACTCTTAAGAATTATCGTGTCTAACATATAACTAAACACTTTTAATTTTTGTTGAATAGTATAAAAGTTATAAGATATTTTGTGTCTATCATACGTAGTACTACGTATAATAATACTCCCTCCGTCCCTTATAACTTTGCGAACTTTCCTTTTTTGATTGTCCCAAAAACTTTGTCACTTTCCCTTTTAATCAATCAATTTGTGGTTCCTGTTATTTCTCTCTCCTCTGCACAAATCTCCACCACACAGTTTTTAGGGTCAGAGGGATTATCTTTTTTGAAAATCTACAACATCATTTGAAAAAAGTCTATAACTTTTAACATTAATGCACTGTTGGTCCAAAATAGGACACTCGTAGGCTTTTAGGAAAGCTACGTACGACACTCAAGCAGGAATCAAGAAAGTAATATGAATAAGGAAAGTTGGAAAAGGAATTTGGTAGCCATAAATAGCATATCTATTATTTGAATCGAACTTGCCTTTTATAGACGATTACAAATGGTAACTGCCAAAGATACTAATGCTAATTAATTACAATATTAATACGGAATTAAATACATAATTAATAGTGCATTAACTGATGGTCGTTACTTTTCCTGGCCGGTAGGTTGGCCTGGCTGGCAGGCCGAACGCTTGAGCTCCCTCCTGCTGGACTAGACAGTAGGCTTCCCGCTGGACTGGAGGCAGGCTCCTGGCCGGGTCGGAAGACAGGCTCCCCGTCGGGTTAGAGGCAGGCTACTGACTGGGCTGGAAGGCAGGCTCCCCGCTGGACTGGAGGCAGGCTACTGACTAAGCTGGAAGGTAGGCTCCCTGCTGGGCTGGAGGCAGGCTGCTGACCGGGCTGCAAGGCAGGCTCCCTGCTGGGCTGGAGGCGGGTTGTTGGCCGGGCTGGAAGGCAGGCCGTACGTCTTGGGCTTCCGCTCCTTGATGGTTGGGCCGGCTCGAGCTCTGGATCGTCGGGCTTGGGCTTGCTGGTCCAAGTTTGGGGCCTGAGCCGATTAGGCTCTGGGCCTAGTCCCATAACCCCATCATGAGTCCCCCACTCCCTTAGTCGAGTAGTATACTCGGCTGAGAGAGAGTAGTTCAAGTCAGCTGTCAATTTTAGAAAATATTCACATACGAGAGAGCCATAATTGTGGATTATGTCAATCCCACAATTTTATGGAGATTTCCAAATTGTTTCCTTCGTCATCCTACTATTCCAGCAATCGGCTTTCTTCCAGACTTGAGAATCCAAACCGACTTCCAAAAATTCTATTTTTCCTTTCCTTTCCTTTTCTTTTCTTTCCTTTTCTTTTCTTTCCTCTTCTTTTCATTCCTTTTCTTTTCTTTTTTCTCTCTCTCCTAGAAACTGCGTGTGTTTTCCTCGCGTAGCCCTAATGCCGTACTCAGCAGGTTTGACCAACAAGCTCTGGGTTTGGACGAATTTCCTTCGCAGGTCGGCGGCCATGCGTTCTGTCGTCGGCCAGGTGGTGGAACTCGACGACGCTCCCCCTAGCCGTCGCCCCCACGCAAGTGTGAGGCAATGGGAATCCCCATGCCAGAGGGGCCCTTAGGCGGAAATTACAGGCCGATTTGGACTCCTTGGCTGGCATCCATCTCCCAGCTCGATGTCGGACACTCTTGGCGGCGGATGAGCCCAATTGACCATCGAGTACTGTTGGCGGCGGAAACCCTTGGTTGGCGACAGACTTGACACCTTCATCGAGGATGGATTCCCGGCCGGTATTAAGGATGGATAAGTGCTAGCAGTAGGGTATGACCCGACGCTCATCCAGTCTGGCAGATGAATTCAGCAAGGTGTGACCGGGCGCAATTACAGGCTGGCAGACGAACTCGTCACATCCCTCGGCGACCCCACCTCCAGGTGGCACCCCTATGGATTCCAGGCTGGTATCGAGCATCTGAGGTAGATATCAGTCGTCTCAGGTTCATTTCTCCAAGATGAATGTAGACGGACCTCTGCTTTCCCTCTTTTGAGTTCCTCATGACGATTTTTCCTTTTTTGTAGGGTTCATCCAGGATTAATTGAGAACATTGGGGCATTGATCTTCTTCGTGTGTGTCTTGCCCTAGGTAGCTAGGCGGCCAAGCAGCTGGGTTCCCCCGGGTCGGATGGCATCGTCCCCTTCATGGAAACGCCGACCGGGCGACCGAGCGGCTAGGCGACCGGGTGGTCAGGCAGCTAGACAGCCGGGCGGCCAAATGGCTGAGAGGCTGGGCGGCCAGGCGGGCCAGGCGACTAGGCAGCGGGGCGGCTAGGCGGCCGAGCAGCCGGGCGACCAGACGGTCGGGCGGCTAGGTTGGACTCTGTATACCCTAGGGTTCCGCGTTGTCCGGCGGTTGCCCTTGTGCTCTTCTTCCTCTTGGCAGTGACGGAGACCACGCACGCGCACTTCATGCCAACGACCGGGATTCAATGGCTGCAGGCTTTCTGGGCGAACGCCCGTCAATGTCGGACCCTCGCAACCTTCGCACCGCCGCCGCCGGGGTTGACCTTCTGTCTTGCTGACGGCCAGAAGGTGAAGGCTTCAGGTGATGTCAGCGACATCCAGGTGGAGGTGGTTTCCAGGGCATCGGCGCCTGGGCAGATGGCATCCGAGATTGGTAGTGTCGCTTCCAGGTCGGCGCCCACCCGGGTGGTGGCGAGTCCAAGGTCGGAGTGTTGCTCCTCGGCGGCGAGAAGTAGGTGGGCGATCCAAACCCTCTGGACGAAGCCTTCATCATCATAAGGCTGAAGTCGTTGAGACCTTTGAGGTTGATATCGACTGTCCCAGTGCAACTGCATGCATCCTTCACCCCCACAAGAAAACAGGTCGATTTAGGCCAGCTGAGACCTTCGGAAAACCATAAGTGCATCCAACATGTGTGGGTGGCATGGCGGTGCTCCCCGAAATATCACTGTTTTAGAGCCACATAGCTCCTTGTCTCTGATAGCCTTTTTCCCTTATTTGCAGGATTTCGTGTCCCATATAGGTCCCCAAACGTGTGAAGAATCGAGAGAGCCCCACGGCGGGGAGCCTACCTTCCAGTTTGAACTTCGAAACATGTAAGGCAGCAGGCGGCCCTATCATGGAAATGGCAGTCAATTCTTTCCCTCAGGAGTGCTCAACAATGCAAGTTGACTGCGACATAGTACTTGGGCGTGAGTCGCAAGTTGACGGTGGCGTAGTACCTGGGCGACGGCCAAGAGTAGACTGTACATGTTAATGACTGAGTTTACTTTCGGATTCCGGGAGAGTTCCTTAAGCTTCCTAGAAACCCCCTTGACGAGATTGTTGTATTTGATGGTGATGGGTTCGCCCGACCATGACCCTGTACATTTTTTTTTGCTTGAATACTCTGTGTTTCGAATGGATGTTTGATTTTTAATTCATACTCTCATTACGAATACTTAGCAATTTATTCGGGGATCCGGCTTCTCTAACCTCCCGGGGGCGGCTAGGCTGGCGTAGCCGAGCCTATCTGTGCCCCTCTTGGTCGGATAGAAGTGA